GTTTTGTTTTCTTTTTAAGCGGGGGTCCGCTGAACTCTGCCCCCGTTTTAATCGTAGGAGTTTTTTTCACTGCTTCCTCCTAAGTTCACCATGCTTTTTCAGAGAGTGTTGACTACTATTTTAAAATGACGATATGTTGGTGGGTATGAATTTTATCTGCCAACACCACTAAACGCTCCCGCTGCTTATGTGGTTGTTCACGGAGAGCAACATTTATCAACTTTGTATTTATTTTTCCGAAGTTTGCAATGACGAGGCCCTCCGGGCCTAAAATATAAAATTTACTTATTTTCACAGAGAGCAGCATTTATCAACTTTGTATTTATTTTTCCACAGCACTAGTTTGCTAGGCCCTCCGGGCCTAAAATATAAAATTTATTTATTTATTTATCAGATTTTTGTCAAGCAGCCTTTATCAACTTTGTATTTATTTTTCCACAGCACTAAGTTTGCAATGACGAGGCCCTTCGGGCCTAAAATATAAAATTTATTTATTAACACGGGCGTTCGTTCCCGCACGAGATTACTGATGAGCATTCTAATGTCCAAATGACCCTGCGCTCTTTTTATAGGGGTTTCTCGCGAGTTCAACTCATGCTAAAATTAATTTAAGTGAGTTCAATTTTATTTAGGAAAAGATAGGCGAACGCATTTGAACTCCACATTGGTTAGGGCTTGGCGAATTGACATCGAGAAATAAAGAAGATACGCGAATAGTTGCTCGAGAATGTGCCCGAGAGTCCCAAAAAGGGACAAGTGAACCCTGTGACAGGTCAGTGAGCGGCTATCCGCCAGTGCATATATAATTGCATGCAAAAAGAAAAAAGCTGTCAGTTAATAGAAAAGTGTAAACACGAATGGCTACTCACTTAGCGTGAGTATAATAACTCAAGTCTGCGAAAGTCAGAATTCCGGGAGTAGAATCAAAGTCTGAAATATCAGCGGACGAACAAACACATTCCTGTCAGCATACGATTTATGAATATAACTTAAAACAAAAACCTAATGTAGGTTGGTGTGCAGCTTTTAAGTGAGAAGCTTGATGCATCTCTAATTTGTCTTTAAATGAATTCGCAATTGTGGAAAAAACAACATCTACGGGAAGAGTGTTCCACGCGTCAACCATCTTGTAACTTTAAAAAAACTTGTCCTCCACGATTTTTGCTTTGCCCGTGCGAAGTTTTAGTGGGTGATCGCACAAAGTGAGCATGTTAAACTGAATTTAAAAAATCGCTGGAAAAAAGCAACACTTCAGGCCATTCATAAAGCGCAAATTTTATATGACATAATCTTGTACTTGTCTGTGTGAGAGATTGGCTAGGGGTTGACAGTCTTCTTCCAGTGGGCAGTGTTCCTAGACCTGTGTTCGTCTTTATCGCCCTCCTCTTCAAAGCATCTCAGATGATACAGTCTTTTAAAGCCCGAATTCTCCATGGCTATGTAACGTATTCTAGATTCGGCCTCTAAATTGGCTTGTTTAACACGTTGTTTTATGATGTCCAACCGCGCCTTATTTGGACCACCGATTCGACCATCCATATTGGTGTTCTTCTTCGCGTTGATGAAGTACGTCGACACCCTGTCCGCACTCAGTTCTCGGCAGTTGTTTTTTATTTAATCCAACCCTTTTAAATTATTTATACTATTTGTGCAATCAGATGTCTCTTAGTAACTGCTGATGGCAGAATTCATTCTTCCG